TATATATGAACAAGTTAATATTTTAATACTAAAAATATTATCATTGTGCTCGATATTTCCAAAGGTTTAAGAGTACTGACTCGTACCGACGACTAACACTATTCTTAATCATATTATTATATATTATTCAAATAATTTATTTCGACCATTTTTATAAAGAAAAAATGTTGCAATATGTAAAAACTTTGTGATACATTAAATTTGTATATAAATAAGTTATAGTACAAAAATTTGAAAAGCTAAGCTAACAACTCTTCCCCGAAAATCATACTTGATTTAGCGCCATTTAAGATACAATTAATGTATACAACTAACTGCCAGTAATTTTAATTTTGAAAAATTGATAAAATTAAGTAACACTATATAGTTATATAAATGTATGTACTTAGTACATAAAAATTTTCTACAAACGGTACAATTGCCATAGATGCGAGCTCCGTACATATAATTATATAAATTGTTTTGTAATACAAAAATTTAAAATGGAATAATAAATCTACTAATATGACAGAGAATTTCAAAACGAAATTCTTTTTAATAATAACTTTATTATTTAATTCATAGTCTAATAAAAATTAAAAACAGCGGAAAATTTTATATAAACAAACAAAAAATTAAAGAAAATATTTTATGCTTATATTAAATATAAATACTAGGTTCTTTTCTTATACTTTTTTTTATTATTTTTAATTTAAATTTTATAAATTAATAACAAATTAAATAAAGTTTTTAAAAGCAATTGTGCCATTCAATCATTTCAGCAAGTATTTTTATGAAATATCTTGAAAATATTTTATCCCAATTTGCTAAAATTCAAAACAGTTTATGACTAAAACTTGTGTAGACAAAACTGCAAATTGTATATACATATATATGCTCACATAATACAATTTTCTACATTTTCTCATAAAATTCTCCTCACAATATATCCCGTAAAATCATCACACCTCAGGAACATCTTTGGCAAGTGGAGCAGTTGGGTTTGATATGCTAAAGACTGGATATCTTGGCAAAAACACACTCTCACCATAGTCATGTTTTTCGTCAGCATTAATTTTACCGGGTCTCATATGAGTAGCCTCCTCATAAGTTGGTGGTACTAAAGAGTAATAAAAGAAATTTTTTTATAACAATTTTATTTAGACATTCCATTAATAATCAGAATACTCACGCATGTCACCATTTCCTTCCCAAGGTATCGGAGTACTAACAACGGCAATTTCATTACTCTCATCAGCCTCCAACATTTTGGCATCAGTTGGTGCTGTTGGCATTTGACGTTGTGCTGCAAAACTGGTTGTAGGCTGCTGTTGCACTACAGTCTGCAAAGGTACATTACCAATAATAATTGGTGCACGTATAACTTGATTAGCATGGAATCCTTTAATTTTTGCTTCAACAAGAACTTCATACATAATATGTAGGATACTGCAACTAACAATATTGCTTGGTGGTGTAGCAGGTACTGGAAGTTGATAATTGAACAACTTTTTGCAGTAACGCTGCACTCCTTCACCCTTCATTTTCGCAACGGTAGTCTTTTCTGTTTTAGATGATCTAGGGCACTGACTATAAAATATAACCAACATGGCTAATGAAATCTTCATTTCCTCTACTGGTATATGACTGTCATTTGTGACTAATATAGAGACAGGTATATTCTGTCCAGGTACAAAACCAGTTTGCGGCAAATCGATGTCCAATTGCAGTGGTGATGATTTGCATGGCCAACAACAAAAAGTCTTTGATGCAATCGCATGCACTGGTGGCTTTTATAAGATACAGAAATTATTTTTCACAAATATTATTATTTTATTTGAAATTTAATAATTACCAATGCCATTGGTTCATAGTTCAGATCCCTGATTGCTAGCACGGTAAATCCTTTCGTAAATGTCTGATCAAATTTCCATGGACGTATGAGTACAACTTTCACTGTATATCTTATATATCCATGAAGACTCTCATAAGAAGTTGGACAATTTGGTGGTATCTGACAAGCAAAATTATAGACTTGTGTGCCAGGTTCAATTGTAAGCTCTGCTAAACCTGTGTGAAATATTTATATATTAATGCCTGTATTATTTAAACGGTACTAAATGTTAATGAATTAACCCATTTCTGATCCAATAACATATGTGGTCGATGCAATGTAATCCTCATGTCCACTATAATAGGTAGTGATAGTTTTAGTTGAGGTACCTCCATTACTATCAGTCGTCGATGTCGTTGAACTTTCACTCCAATTAGTATGTGCAAATCCAGTAATTTTTAGCGCAACAGCTTTTAGTGAAATATATATTTAAATAATATAATATTTAAATAAAAATATTTAAAGCACCTTTAACTTTTTTAGGTTTATTTGCGTTTAATGTTGCTTTTCCTGAAAGCATTTGGCCAGCAAAGTAGGTGCCAAAAGGATTATTATCGAATTCTATAACACATGTCACCACCATTTTTTTTTAATTTTTAAATTTGTTCAACACCTCGAATTAAATATATATATATTTTAAATAGAGTACCGCTTAACGACGTTCGCACTATTGCCAGTTTGTTATCAAACTAAATTTTTCTTGTTTCATGACTTCTATTATACAGCAAAGTTTAGCTTTCCGGCATATAACAATAGGTATTAGTTTCACATCTTATCAATTCAACCACCTCGATAAGAGAAATATTTGATTGGAGACAACCTTAACCGTACCTTATGGATTGTATATTCTTAATTACTCATTGGTAATAAAACATAATTTGTAAAAAAGTATTAGAATTTGGGTGGAAAATATAAAAGAATTTTAGAATGATTTAAGTTCATATAATAATATGTAATCAATTAATTTTATAATATGACGCGTATTGAAATATACTTTCAATATATTCTCTATCACTTTGAACATACATATGGGTCATTCTCTTACAACTTGGACACCTT